ACAAAAGTCCATTGCACTGAGTGTACAAAAGACGAAACCTACATCATCATCCTCAAAAGCCTTAAAGGCAAAAGAAGCATCTGACGAGAGTTGTGACGAAGAGACATATGACTCAGACGATGAGATATCCATCTTGTCTATAAAAATATATTCCATGATGAAGAAAAAGGGAGGATCATGCTGAAGAAAATACAACAGAACTCCAAGAGAAAAGGCACAGCCACTGTGCTATGAATGCAAGAAACCTGGACACTACAAAACAGAATGTCTAGAGTTAGAAAAAGAAAAGGAGAAAGAAAAGAAGAAGTCAACTCTCCACAAGAAGAAGAAGGCCATGATGGCCCCTGGGAAGATCTAGATACGACATCATCTGAAGATGATGAACATGCAAACATATGTCTCATGGCATACACAAACTCATCATTTGAATCTAATGATGAAGAGGTTAGTGAATTTGATTTCAAAGATCTTCAGCATGCATATAATCAGCTTTTAATTGATTCTACTAAGATCTCTACTGCATATAAAGAACAAAAGAAAAGAATTTTTGAACTACTTGAAGAAACTCTTTTGCTCAAGAATAAAAATGCAAAATTATCAAAAGAATCAGAAAAAGGACTTGAAGAAATAAAATTGCTAAACCAAGAAATTAAAATACTAAAATCTGATTTATCAAAGTTCACTCTAGGAACTAAAAACCTTGAAAATCTCTTGAAATACTCTAAGAGTAAAAATGATAAGTCTGGATTAGGGTATGTTGACTCTGAATCGAAAAACAAAGTAAGTACATACGCATATCCTACATATAATGGGCATTTCACGCCTAAATGCAATCACATGCACAGAAGGGGTATTCCAAAACCTCAAACACTAACATTTATGGACCCAAATCCAATTGGGTACCAAAGACTAAAATAATATCTATTGCAGATCTGTTCAATAAGAATAGGATGTGTCCAGTCATGGTACCTGGATAGTGGCTGCTCGCGACACATGAAAGGCGAAAGGTCTATGATCCTAGACCTCAAGTCCAAGAAAGGAGGCCTAGTCACATTCGGAGGAGGACAAAAATGAAAAATCACGGGGATAGGTAAAATAGGTATAAATTCCTCCATCAACATTGATAACGTCTTGTATGTTAAAGGATTAACACATAACCTGCTAAGCATAAACCAATTATGTGACAGTGGTTACGAAGTTTCCTTCAACAAAAATAAATGTACTGTTAGTCAAATTGATTCATCCATATTATTTACACCTAGCAGATGCAATAACTTGTACAAGATAATGCCTAATGAACTAGAAAATCAAAATGTTGATTGTCTAGTATCCTATGAAAATTAGTGGTTGTGGCACAAGAAACTTGGTCATGTAAGCCTGAGATTAATCTCAAAGTTGAAAAAGCATAAATTGCGCTGTTATCTCAAATAGAACCAAAAACCACGGACGAAGCCCTATCAGATGATAGCTGGGTCCAAGCCATGCAAGAAGAACTCACCCAATTCTAAAAGAATGATGTCTGGAAACTCGTACAAGCTCCGGAAGGAAAAACAATAATTGGCACAAAATGGGTATACAGAAACAAGTTAGACGAATTAGGAAATGTGGTAAGAAACAAAGCAAGGTTAGTCGCAAAAGGATACTCACAACAAGAAGGTATAAAATTTACCAAAACTTTTGCAATTGTTGCCAGAATAGAAGCTATTAGAATATTACTTGCTTTTGCTACATGCACTGGTTCAAAAGTTTACGTAAACCAACCCCCTGGTTTTGAAAGCGATTTGCTTCCATCTCATGTCTTTAAATTAAACAAAGCTTTGTATGGACTGAAACAAGCACCACGAGCATGGTACAAAAAATTAAGTTCTTTTCTAACAAGCAACAATTTCATAAGAGGAAAAATTGATAGCACTCTATTTAGAAAAGAACTAAAAGATGATTTCATAATAGTTCAAATTTATATAGATGACATAATATTTGGAGCTACTAATGACAATCTCTGTTAAGAGTTTTCCAAGCTTATGCAGGATGAATTTGAGATGAGCATGATGGGAGAACTGAAGTTCTTTCTAGGACTCCAAATCGTTCAGGTAGATGGAGGAATCAGAATTCATCAGACAAAATATAGAAAAGAGCTACTGAAGAAGTATAAGATGGATGATGCAAAATCAATGAAGACTCCAATGCATCCATCCACAACTCTGGATCTGGACAAAGACTCACCAGACGTAGATAACACAATGTACCAAGGAATGGTAGGCTCACTCTTGTACCTAACGACATCCAGACCTGACATTATGTTCAGCGTCTGCGTCTGTGCCAGATTTCAAATGAAACCTAAGGAGGTACATTTACAAGCTGTTAAATGCATTTTGAGATATCTTAAAGGAACAACTAACCTAGAAATCAACTTCTATAGAAGCCATAATTTTTCTCTATTAGGATATTGTGATGCAGATTACGCAAGAGACAAATGGGAGAGAAAAAGCACTAGTGGAGGATGTCATTTTCTTGGTCGCTGCTTAGTTTCATGGACTAGCAAAAGGAAAGCACAATTTCCTTATCAACTTGCAAAGCTGAGTATGTCACCGCAGGACAGTGTCTTAAGCAGCTGCTTTGGATCAAACATCAGCTGGAAGACTACAACATTTATGAAAGTAGTATTCCTGTACTTTGTGATAACACTACTGCAATTAGTATTTCAAAAAATCTTGTTTTGCATTCTAGGACTAAACATATTGAGATCAAACATCATTTCATTAGAGATCATGTGCAAAAAGGAACCTTCGGTCTAGTGTATATTAAAACTGAGGAACAATGAGCTGACATCTTTACCAAACCTCTTCAAGAAGATAGATATATCTGGCTAAGAAATAGGCTAGGAATGGAACTGATAAGTGAGTAACAAACCCCTATTTAATGATTACAAAGGGAGAGAAATTAAAAAGAATCTATCAAATCTACATCAGAGTGAAGTAGGAATAATCAAGTGAGGGGGAGAGCACATATTAAGGGGGAAAGCCCTAGTACCCTAAAATACCTAGTAATTTATAAGATGTATGAAATGTATAAATCTACTTGATTGGAATAAATTTGTATATATGCTATTGATCTAAAATGAATTAATAGATTATATTTGTCATCATCAAAAATAGGAAGATTGTTAACTCAGATGAAACAATTCTCAGTGGAATTTTGAATATAACAAATATAATTCATATTTTTATTACTAACCTGTATAGTAGTGTTTCAGATATATATAAGAACAGGCAAAACTAAAGGATGAAGCAAGGTCAAGCAAAACAAAGATCAGAAAAATCAAGTCAAATAACATAAGGATCATGACTTGCACACTAGACGATAATAAATATCAACGAAGATATGCCAAGAACAATCCAAAGCGCAATATAAGAAATCAGAAACAAGAGCAAAATAAGACCAAGACAAAGTTGGCTTAACAACAAATAAACATCAGACGAAGCTCAATGGTCAACCACATAACACAAGATGAAGAAACATTCTAGACAGAATGAAAAGTCGTACACCTTCAAGACTGATCAGACGAGATGACAAAGTCAAAGTCTAGCTCTTAGACGTAGACTCAGATTTCCAGACGCAGACGAAACATGGTGAAAAAGCGTCTGAAGTCCACTATTAAAACGAAGAAGATCTTATATCATCTCCATTTATAAGAAAAGCACACGGAGTTAGCAAAGATATGAAGAGAAAGAAGAAAAATTCAAGAGCGCGAATTCACAAGTCAAAGTTGTGTATGTCAGGACAAATATACCTACTTTTCAGAGAAAGACAACACCTCCGCAGCTACAATGACGGAAAAAGGACAAACATACCTAGGTTATGATTGAAGTTAGAAATAAAAGGGAATAAATTATGCAAAGGACTTCACGCGCGTAACACAGATTTAGCAAGCAAAACATTTAACGCAAAATCAAATGCATTAAATGAAAAAGATCTGTGTAGTCATGAACGAACGTTTATCTGCACCAACGGAAAGCTCTGCCTCAACAGACACATTCAAATTCAAAGAATAGACAGATTTATCACAAGGCTATAAATAACAAGATTTGAGAAGAAAAGAAAAAAGAGAGAAGCAACAAGCGATAAGCAAAAACAAGCGTCAAATCAATCTCTCTTCTTGTTCAAAGTTGAATATCCGTGCAAAACTAAGATATTTTATCTAATCTTAATTTTAATAAACGAATAATTAGTTATTTAATTTATACTAATCTATACTAATATATAAGGTAGATATTCATTCTAATAATCACCTTAGTCTGCATATTTTATTGATCATTATACCTTTTTATTTTAAAAAATTAGGAAAATAATATTTTTTTTTATCAAATTCAAGACCTTAAAATTAATGAACTAATCATAACACCAGATCACTATATATTTATTACTTAATTTTTATTTTTATTTTATATTTAATAGAGATACAATGTGTCTTCATCCCACTAATCTTTATAATAAGAATTATCTAATCTAACTTAAAAAAGTTTTTTAACAAAATTTTATAAAAGTTAATCACCTATACAATACTAGTGTAAAATTTTTTTACACTAACAGTATATGAATGATTAACTCATTTTATAATAGTTACATATTTATTTACAATAAAAGTTTGCTGTTGAAGTTATAACAACATACACATTTATGATCATAGTTTAAAATTTTTATCCACAAATTAAGAATAAATATAAATATATCATATTTTATATAATTTTACTTAAAGAATCCGCTCTCTCAAAATATACGTTATTTTTAATTGTTGTGATTAAATAACATAAGAAATAGTTAATTAAAAAAATAATTAATATCTATTTTGAAATATATTTTAAATATTAAAACTGTTGTAATAAATAAGAAAAACTCGAAAATCTTCTAATTTCCATAATTCCATGTCTGTTTTATTTCGTTAGGATTAATAAAATCCTCTTAATCCCAAAATGGCAACTCTTAATTAATTAACATTCAATGCATACCAAAATAAAGCATTTCCTTCGAGGCCACATCACCACAACTCTCTCATTCTTTGTTACGAACTACGAAGCGTCTCAAACTTGCACTACATAAAATATGTTTAATTGGTAAAATTTCTCGTTCAGATTCTTACAAATTGTGGGTCTCTTTGTATTATTCTCAAAGTTTCTTCTTTGATCTCTTTTTTGTTTTGGGTATTTTGTGCTAACCATGTTCCAAAACAGCATCTTCGACAACGGCTCTCACGACCCTTCTTCACCATAAGGTCAGGCTTTTGTTTTTTGCTGTTGAATAGTTTGATTAGTGATGGTAAGAGTTGAGATGGATGATATTTAAAGGTTAGAGGAAAAGGTGAGACATTTTCAGTTTGTGAAGGTTGATTTTGTGTTGTTTGTCTTGAGGGGTGTGTAATGGAAGAAGGGTTGCGGCAAAACTCAGTTCCTCCTAGTTCAGGTTTTGTTGATAAAACTAAGGTTGTAGAGGCAAAACCCCTGCGTAGTTTAGCACCTGTGTTGCCAAAATCTCTTCAATCTTCTCTCTCTGGCCGGTACCCTTGTGTGTTTCCTCCGTTTGTTGTGGTTGAGGAAGCTCAAGAGTCTCAACCATCATCACCTGCTCCCATTCCAGCTCCAATAAAGTCCTATAGGAACCCATTAGTAGAAGAAGAAGAAGAAGAAGAAACCCCACATGGAGCCAATGGAGATACTTCTTCACCGATGGAGGTTCTTGATGGTTATAGCCAAAAGCGTGTGCCTATGAACAGCTGCAAATCATCCCAAAAGAGGGGTAGGAAAACTCAGGAGTCACAGTTTGATTCGAGTTCCTTGGTTGGTGGTGGTATTGGTGTGGCCCAAAGGGATGATGGTGACCGTGAAACGGTTAATCTAGTGCTCATGACTTATGATTCTCTTCGAAGAAGGCTGTGTCAACTTGAAGATGCTAAGGAGTTGAACACAACCATGGCAATCAAGCGGGCGGATTTGAGAGCAAGCAATGCCTTGTCGGCTAAGGCGTTTCGAACAAACATGAGGAAGAGAGTAGGAGCAGTGCCTGGGGTTGAGATTGGGGACATTTTCTTTTTACGGATGGAAATGGTTCTTGTGGGTTTACATATCCAGTCAATGGGAGGAATTGACTACATGACCACCAAGGATGAAACAGTGGCTTTAAGCATTGTTTCTTCCGGAGTATATGATGATGAAACGGAGGATAATGATGTTTTAGTTTATAGTGGTCAGGGTGAGAACTTCAACAAGAAAGATAAGCATGTGATTGATCAGAAGCTTCAAAGGGGTAATCTTGCTTTAGATAGAAGTTCACGCCAACAGAATGAAGTTAGAGTCATCCGGGGCCTAAGAGATGCTGTGAACAGAAGTGCAAAAATCTATGTCTATGATGGTCTGTATAAAATCCAAGATTCTTGGATAGAAAGAGGGAAATCCGGTGGTGGTGTATTTAAGTATAAGTTTGTTAGATTGCCTGGACAACCTAGTGCTATTGCTGTTTGGAAATCGGTTCAGAAGTGGAAGATGGACTCGTCTTCAAGGACTGGCCTTATTCTTGCAGACCTCTCCAGAGGAGATGAGAGTGTTCCTGTGTCACTTGTCAATGAAGTTGATAACGAGAACTGCCCCGTTTTCAATTATTTCAATTCTCTCAAACATCAGAAACCATTCAGTTTAGGGCAATCTTCATATGGCTGCAACTGTTACAAATCATGTGTCCCTGGTGATTTGAGCTGCTCTTGCATTCAAAGAAATGAAGGCGACTTTCCATACACTGCAAATGCTGTTCTAGTGAGTAGGACACAATTGGTTCATGAGTGTGGCCCAATGTGTAAGTGTTTCCCTAACTGCAAGAATCGAGTATCCCAGACTGGTTTGAAGCACCAAATGGAAGTGTTCAAAACAAAAGATAGAGGGTGGGGACTTCGATCACTGGATCCTATTCGAGCTGGTACTTTTATTTGTGAGTATGCTGGAGAAGTTATTGACAGGGCCAAGGTAAATCCATATGGGGGATACAATGATGACTATATTTTTGATACAAGCCGTATTTATGATCCATTCAAATGGAACTATGAGCCTAGTTTATTGGAAGAAATAAGCTCAAATGTCTCTAGTGAGGATTATGCTATCCCGTATCCTCTAATTATCAGTTCCAAGAATTTTGGAAATGTGGCAAGATTTATGAATCATAGTTGCTCCCCAAATGTTTTCTGGCAGCCAGTCTTGTATGCGGAAAACAATCAATCCTTTCTTCACATTGCATTTTTTGCCTTAAGACACATTCCTCCAATGGCAGAGTTAACATATGATTATGGATGTTCTGGTCATGCTGAGGGTGGCAACGCACCCAAAGGGAGAAAGAAATGCCTGTGTGGATCATCAAAATGCCGTGGTTCTTTTGGTTGATGTTTTGTTGCAGTTTGCTCATGGACAAGCATGGTGCTGGCAAATGTACTGATGGCTAAATGAGGTTTGTGAGTCTATTGCATGTTTCCAAATGCGTTGCTTTTTTCAGATAAAGGCTCTGTAATAAAAGCATTTTTTTAATAATGTTTTCTATTTTTTAAATTGCTCTGTACATTATGAGTTATGTTTTATTTTATCAAATTTTATAATAAATAAGACATAAGTTTTAACTTATATATACCATCAATGTAAAATACTTTTGTGTTGACATCTAATAAGAATTTATCTTATTGCTATATCATATTAATGAATAGGATGACATGGTAAAAAGGTCAAATCTTATTGGATTTCTATGTAAAAATGTTTACATTGACATGTATAAAATCTAGACTCTAAGAAATATTATGGCTTCTCACAGTAAAGACATGTGATCTAGATCAAATCTGCTGCATTCTTCAACATTTTTTGGACACACCGGAAACTCTAGAAATGTTTACTCTAGTTGTCCATGCAAATTCCATTTTGGATTGCTAACTGCTGAATGCTATTTGACAGAAACATTGAGCTTTGTTTGGGAAATAGAAGTAGAGGAAACAAAAAATAGATATGGTTGAGAATGAATGTGTATTATTTGCCTTTTAATTTTAATGTCTCCTATTTTTCTTATACTGGTGCTGACACTTGTTTCCCATGTTTGGCTTATCAACAAAATTGAAATTTTCATATTCCAAATATTTCTTAGATGTTCTGCACATTGACCTATTTTTGTCATTCCATTTACAAAATAAAGTTATATTTTCATTTCAAATCTTGTTTGTAATTCCCTTCTCTTTTTCTTGTTTTGGGTTTGGGGGTTGCTTTGACAAGAATCCAGCAAACCATGGCTCTTTAGAAGCTTGATAACACTTGTGTGATGCACCCGTTTGAATGGGGTTACTTTTGTCTCATAAGTGTATATTTTAAACTCTTGCAGGTTTGGATAATTTGATACTAATATCTTATCAAATAGTATACTTTTTTCTTATTTTAATTTTACCAAGTCTTTGCATTAAAATAAATTAGTTTTAAGCTTAGATTATATAAGCTGCCATTAAGCTATTCCAAACTTGCATGTATGCTTTTTTGAATGTATTGTACCCATACTCAAGGTTGTCAATCTCGAGAGTTTACGTAATCTCGTGGAGGCTCCGTACTGTTGTATTTTTAAATTTACGCAATTGTTTGAAATAAAAACTGCACACAAACCTTTGCACACAACATGTTCATCATCTTCAGATGATGTCGTATCTAGATCTTCCCAGGGGCCATCATGGCCTTCTTCTTCTTGTGGAGAGTTGACTTCTTCTTTTCTTTCTCCTTTTCTTTTTCTAACTCTAGACATTCTGTTTTGTAGTGTCCAGGTTTCTTGCATTCATAGCACAGTGGCTGTGCCTTTTCTCTTGGAGTTCTGTTGTATTTTCTTCAGCATGATCCTCCCTTTTTCTTCATCATGGAATATATTTTTATAGACAAGATGGATATCTCATCGTCTGAGTCATATGTCTCTTCGTCACAACTCTCGTCAGATGCTTCTTTTGCCTTTAAGGCTTTTGAGGATGATGATGTAGGTTTCGTCTTTTGTACACTCAGTGCAATGGACTTTTGTTTTCGTCCTGCTTCATCTTGTTGTAGCTATGCTCTCAATGCCGTGACTTGGGGTCCCCATTTCCTGGGTAGACTACGAAGTAATTTGTCAATATGATCAAAGTTATCATAAGTCTTACCTAGAAAAGAGAGTTCATTAATAATAGTTTGAAATCTTCCAAACATAGTTTGGATAGATTCTTTCTCTTCCATCTCGAAGTTCATACTTACGGACCAACAAGCTTAGCTTGTTGCATTTTACCTCCAGGGATCCCTCATAAGTTATGGCTAGGATATCCCACATTTGTTTGGCACTCCTGAAGTTGTGTACTTTGGTGTATTCTTCCTCAGTTAGAGCACACATGAGTACATTTCTGGCTTTGGAGTTTAGCACAAATCTTTGTTTTTGATTTTCATTCCAACGTCCCTTGGGTATTTCCCTCCCAGCATCATCGTGCAGAATGTAATCTCCCTTATCTACAACCTCCCACATGTTTATGTGACATGTGTCAAAGAATGTAATCATTCTTTATTTTCAGTACTCGTAGTTGGCTCCTCTGAAGAGAGGTGGGCGATTTACCGCCTATCCTTCATTTTTCATGATCGTTCCCTTGCAGTGTTAGATGCTCAACCCTAGGGGTCAACCTCTGATACCAATTGAAGTTAGATGAAAAACACACAGAATGGGGGTTGAATGTGTGAACGAAGGATTTTAAAAAATGTTTTCGCAGAGGTGCTACTTTCTGTCAGAAAATAATATTTCAAGTGTAAGGTTGGTGAAGAGAAACTTGCGTCCAAAGATCTATCGTCTGTTTGAAAATGGTTTCCTTTATCAAACAAATATAACTTTGTTTAAATATTGTTTAAAGAATGGGTAGTATTGGACGACGTTTTTCAGTATGATAAATCAATATAAGTAAAATTATGTTTCTAGATTAAATAACAATGCACAGAGTTTTTATACTGGTTCACTCGTTTTGAGCTACGTCCAGTCTCCTTCAACTGAAGGGTTCCACTAATCATAACGGATTACAAGTGTATTGCCCGTACTGCGAAGCCGAGCTCCGAGCTCGGGAGCTCAGCACCACAACGTTTCACATGAAGTACCATGGATGGTCCTCCATCAGAACGGGTCGTTCTAGTTTGAGAATGGGTCATTCTGGATGTGAAATTTTACACATGCCATCAGAGTCCAGAACAGACCGCTCTGGATTTGAAATGGGTCGTTCTAGCGATGCCTGATGCTTATAAATAGAGCACTCTGGCACTCCCAAAAGGCACACCTTTCAGTTTTGACTTCTTTCAGTTCTGACTTCTTTTCCTTCTACATTCTCTAAAGATCGAGGGGAACCCAGAGGAGGAGACCAAACAAATCCTGCTTAGTTTCAGCTACTGCTTATCGAGGTACGGGAGAAAGGAGAATTATTTGTATGCAGAGTTGCATGAGGGAATTGGGTAGAGGAAGAATCCCTTAAGATTATAGGTAATTTTTTAATTATTTCTGTTTGAGGAATTGATGATCCCATTAGATTTTACATGTATTGAGGATTAGAAATATATATTTAATTTGTGAAAATGATGATTTAGGAGAGAGAACAAAATTGTAGAAAAGTGCCTGTGAGTTAGGTTTTGGAAAAATTGGGAGTTTTATTATTTGATTTAATATTGTATTAAATTGGTGAATTAATTGAGTTTTATATTAGTTTATAAATATTATTGTTATATTATTGTTATAGATGAGTATTCATGGTGAATTGCTTGAAGGGTATGTGAATCATTGTATTGTGTAGACTTATTTGTATGTGATATGGAATTTGAGTTATGAGATGGGATGTTTAATGAATGTTGATTGTGATGTGATTGTGGTTCCTCACACTAATGACCAGGGATGGCACGACCCTTGGGTAAGTGATGCTACAAGGACGACGTGACCTTAGCATAGTGTGGGATGAGTGAGGCAATTAACTCGTATCACTTATGTCAGATGTGGCGTGTGGCCTTGGCATAATGTTAATTGTAAGATTTGTGTGGATTATGAATGTGAAAATGATAGTGTTAATTGCAAGATTTGTGATGGATTGGTGTGATTGTGAAATTGTGTTGTAAAGTTGATGCATGATTGATAGAATTATGATATGCAGAAATGATTGTAAATATTTCATTATGTAATGAGTTATGATGAGATTACATTGTGGTGTGTTTGTATTTGCTTTACATATAAATATTTTCTTTTCTCACCGTATAATTTGTGGATGTTTTATGTGAGGAAGATCCGGCTTTGAGTGACATCTAGATTGCCAACAATTGAATTGTGGGTTTAATCTGGTATTATGACATCGGGGTAGAGGATTCTAGGATATAAACTTTTATATGTATTTGGAGTTGTACCTTTTGTTTTGAAAATAATTTGTAAACTCTTAAGTTTTACTTTCCAAGTTTTATTTTCAATTATTTTGGATATTGAAGAACAATTGTGAAGGTTTTATTTGAACCCTTTTACCAATGTTGAAAATTTTATTCTTTAGTTTATTTACATTGTTACAATAAGTATATGTTGGGGTAGTAAGGGTGTCACATCACTTGTAGGCTAGGGGAGGCTCTAGGGTGGTTTGTTGAGGTGGCTGGGGTTGAGGTTGAAGAGGTGGTTGAGATGGTTGGATAAAGGATGAAATTGGTGGATGAGGCTAAAAGAGAAGTTTGAGCCTAGAGGTGGAGGATTTTCGATGAAGATGGTGGGCAAGGATTTATCATTTGAGTCAGACGAAGTTTTGTGAACATGAATTTTGATGGGTTTGGCAAACACTTAGAATCATATTTTACCTTTATGTCTATAATGCCTGACTTAGTGTCTATCATGAGGCATATGTTAACCTTCTTATCTTCTAAATTGTTGCTTCTTCTACTATCCAAATCCTCCCAACTGGCCATTAAACTCTTTTTAGCCTTCTTCTTGGAAGACTATCTCCTCCATTGTGAAAGGCAATCAACATTCATGTGACCAGGCTTCTTAAACTCATAGTAGAAAACTTCTTTGTTGTTTGATTGACTTAGCTTTTTGGACCTATCCTTCTTTTTGTGGAAGTTTCTCAATCTTCATTTCTTCTTCAACATGTCTTTGAACTTCTTAGACATGAGAGATATCTCATTGTTTGTAGAGTCAACGAAGCTATCATTTGAGTTGTTGGGCTCAAATTTTGCCTTCATCAGTTTCCTTTTTTCTTTTTTTTTTTGATTGGTCTCACCACCTTCAAAGAAATAGTGTCATTCTCTTTAAAGTGATCTTTATTGTTCAAATGAACCTCATGAACTCGTAGAGCTCTAAGAAGTTCATCAAGAGCCAGAACCTTAAGATCATGTGCTTTTGAGATGGGTGTGGCTTTGGGTTCCCAAATCTTAGGGAGACTATCCAAGATCTTGAGATTATTTTGAGCTTTGGAGAACTTAGTTCCCAGGGATTTTAAATCATTTAGAATTGTTTGGAATCTTCCAAATATTTTGTCTATGGATTCGCTTTCTTTCTTGAAGAACAACTCATAGTGTCTTTGATGTGTGGCAACTCGTCTGATCGTTACATCTTCAGTACTCTCATGAGTTACCATGATGACATCCCACATTTCTTTAGTTATTAAGAAGTTGTAGAACTTGTTGTACTTTGTTCTAGATAAGGAGCAAGCAAGGATGTATATTACTTTAGTATTAAGTTGAAATGTGTTGTAGTCATCCTAAGTATATTCATTCTCAGGCTTGGTAACACAACATTACCTTGAGTGATGATTCTCCAAAGGTGATATTGGGTGGATTTGATGAACATTTCCATTCGATTCTTCTAATACAGGCAGTCAACTCTATTAAAGGCAAGGGGCCTTGTAAGAGAGACTCCTTCAAGTAGGTACTGTCTTTCACTACTTCCCATAATGAATCATTGTCCTTTAGCACGGTTAGATGCTCAACTCTATCAAAGTCTAGGTCTTGATACCAAACTGTGGAGTAAACTTAAATACTAGTTATAAAACCCTAAACCCTAAACCCTAAACTCGCACATTTTTTAGTGAGATAGTAACACTAGTTAGATGCATAAAGAAGAATAGTTGGATGGAACATTAAGTACCTTTTATCAAAAAAAATAATTTGTTTGTTAACACTAAAACTCTAAGTTTAAGGGATCGTCTTTTGACTTAACAACTATGTTTAGAACAAAAAGATTTATAGCAAAGAAAGACTATCTACAAAAGAGTGAAATCAAATAATTTAGAGATCAAAATAGGAATGGAATTGTATAATTAAATAAAAATAAGAAGAAATATTGAAAAATACATTTTAGAGCATTAAGATATGAGAAAACAAAATTTAGGTCTAAATCACTACAAGAAATTTAGGTATACGTCTATTTGACATATAGTTACGCAAAATTTTAGTGTTGATTTTGGATGAGATTTAACAACATATTTTGTGTGTCACTATAGTCTATACCCACACTTTTTAATAATATACCAACATATACTGTAGTTATTGTATGAGTAAAAGTAATTTTTAATAAC